CATTTCTACCAACAATTGTTCCAAATTCTCTATATCCTTGCCAAAAAATTTATTGTTTTCTGTTCCTTCTATTATGGCCATACTGATGGGTGTGAGGTAGTTTTTTATACTTGTTTTAATTTGCATTTCTTTAATGATTATTAATGTGACTATCCTTTCTTTTGGCACTTGTTGGCCATTTGTATATTTTCTTTGGAGAAATGTCTATTTAATTCCTTGCCTGTTTTTTCATTAGATTATTTGGAGGTTATTGTTTTTGTTGTCCATTTATAGTTCTTTATGTATTCTGAATTTTAAGACCTTATCATTTATATGATTTACAATTGTTTTCTTCCATTCCATAGGTTGCCTTTAACTCTGTTGATTCATTCTTCGATATGTAGAAATTTTTAAGTTTTGTGTAACCCCATTTATCTATTTTTTATTTTGTTGCCTGTGCTTTTATGTAATACCCAAGAAATTATTGACAAAAACATGTCTTAAGGGTCTTCTCTTCTGTCTTCTAGGAATTTAATAATTTAGGATTTTAATGCACTTTGAGTTAATATTTATATGTGGTCTAAGGGAAGGGTCCAGCTTCATATTTTCTTTGCATGTATATGTTCAGTTTCCTAAACACTATTTGTTCCAAAGACTTTTTCCCTTATTGTGAAGTCTTTGCCACTGTTGTTGGTACTTTTGGCTATATATGCCCAACTTGGGGATTTTACAATGCCATATTTTCAACAATATTAAAAATTTGAAATATTTCCAAAGAGAAAGAAGGTGAATTACTCGATGATGTCTTAACAAGAGGATTTTATTATCACTGGGCAGTGTCCTCTATTAGAATGGGATAATTTTTAAAAGTTAGTCTGGCAACAAAGTAAAATATAGACTTCCTTGTTGGAATTTTTTGAGGCTTAAGTGACTAATTAGAAGGACTTCGTGGGTCTTGCAAGTAAAGAACCTGGAATAAGTCCTCATATTATGTTTAAAACAGGAGCCAGAGGCTGAGTGCAGAGGAAGAACTGGCTGACCTGGCAAGTGACAAGATGGGCTGAGTTAGAACATGGGATTCCCAGAAGGATTTGAGATTTTAATCCACAGTTTTAAACCCTTTCATGCTTAAAATGGAAAATCCTTAATGAGCTACTTTTCTGATCCATATTCCCAAGTGCCTCGCTACCATTCCATCTCACGACTGCAGGGCTGGCTCTTTAATTCTCTATATGATCTCTATGCTGAGAAATGTGATGCCAAAAGCCAGTCATAGTCCTTTGTATCTAGGCAACAGCATTGATAAACACTGCAGATTTCCTTTCTGCTGCTTTATGGCATGCACTACATAATGTGGACTCAAAAATTATTACATTACATTTAATGTTTCCAGAAACTACTATAAACATAGACACTCAAGTATGGTTTCTACCTCCAAAATAAGAAAGCATATCTACAGTTTAGAATCACTGACATTTCAAATCTCTGACATTTCAGATACTAGATATCATCTAAAATGTAAACAACCTATATATTTCCCAGCCCCAGGTTCCTCCTTGAATATATTGGGGTTTGTTTCTTTTTCTTGTCTGTGTGTTTTATTTTTATTTTATCTTTTTTTTTGTACTAAGACTCAATTTTCCTTTTTCTACAGTCTAAAGATATTGAATGTATTCTTGTCCTGTAAGATAGCTGAATACATAAAGGACCATCCAATAAACTGCAAGGCTACTACCTGACAGTTAAACTTAGCTTCTTACATGCTCTTTTATATCAGAACTATATGAATTCAGAATACAGAAGTAGCCCAAGCCAATTACTTGGTCGCAGTAATTACCTGTTTTATTTTCCCTTTGTATAATTTATTGTAAGTTTGATCTGATTTTTCCATTCCAAGAGCCTATGGACCCATTTCAATTGCCTGGCTTCTCTCTAACACCTGAAAGTAATCATAGTTGCCAGATCAGGTAAACTGCAAACTGAATTCAAGCCTGCTCAGTACATTTAATCAGATCTATAGAACTAGAAGCTCCATGTAGGAGCAACTATTGGAAATGTTTTTTTATAGACTGAGTTTTTAATTGGGAAGAATGATATTAAATACTTCTGTTTGAAAAAATAGTTGGATGATGATTATAGTAGATATATGAGCTAGCAAAACAATTCTTAACTATGAATTTTGAGTTAGCCTTAAGTTTAAAAGTTTTTGGACAAGTCTAGATTTTTTTTTTTTAATTTTATGTTCCTGAGTCAACTAAATTAAAATGGTTGCATTTTTTTCTGGGAAATTCTTCCACTTTCCCACATAAAAGAAAAAGGGATTGGTTTTATAATCATCATTCTGTCTTATAAAAATAGTGTCTCAGTTAAGACATCAACTAGTCAAACATTCTAAGTTTACCATGAAGGCCAACAAAGGTCAAAGGTAGAGTTAGTGTCCATCTATTAAGACTTGTTTCAGTAACCTTTAGGGGAAATCTTTATTTTCTAAAGCATTCATGAAGGTGAGGAGTACTTTCTGGTCTCTGCCAAATTGAGTCCCCCATGGCTCGACTAGAGGTACAGTTCAATGTAAAGTTCCAGGTAGAATACTCAAATGATTCTGCTCTTAAGGCTGTGGCAGCTAAGTCAATTAAAAAAGAACTTTAAGTGAATACTTCAGTGGATAAAAAGATACAAAGAATGTTGTCAATGCATCATTTGGGTATTAGCAAACTGTCTCTTTTGTGGCAGCAATTCATTTCACTTTCCTCATTTTGTGCTCTTTGCTGAGTCACAGATGTTGCTTGAACATAGCAAGAATCAAGGAATACATGCAAGCATGTACCACTCTTCTGGGTCTGAAGAGATATGATTTGGTGGGTTGCCTGGCTTTAATAATAATAGAAATTGTCTGTTTTTTTCTCTGATAAAAAAAGTCAAAGTGGCTGCCTAAATTCACTCTAATGATATCTAATTATCTATCTAGGCTTAAACTATTAGTTTCAGATAGACTAGATAAATAAATAGATCAATCAGTTGACAGAAATACACTACAGCATACATAAAATAAAAACAGGAGTGAGGGAAATTCAGTACTGAAGAGTGAAAATGGAAATTGACAGAGCAATCCTAGACATTTCCAGGCTATGAATAACTTTTATCATATGATTTACTCTGTCTTCCATACTATTATTTAATAATACTCTGTTAGAATTGAATTAATTACATTTAGAACTTTTTTTGAAGATGCTACAAGATTTCTTTTAACTATGTATAAAGCAGAAGTTACTCTGCTTCTCAAAATCTCAAAAAGAGATTTGATATGTTTTGATAGTATTGTTATGTCAATGCAAAATTAATTGACCCATCAACCAAGGTGTTTGAAGATACTGCAACTAAAACTAGAATTATAAAGGGAATACTCTAGTTAAAGGAGAGTTAATCGCCTTATTACTATAGTGCTCTACATGCTAAACATTGAACAAAAGCTATTTTATTATTAAATCAATTTTATGTGGATGTAAATATTTGTTTGAGTGTAACTGGAATTTTTCAATATTATTTCAAATGGGATTAGACACAAACCCTTGTTTTGCATTGAGTGGCTTAAGCTATATTCAGAAATCAATTTTTTACCTGAATATATTTGTGATATAAAATTATGTATATTAATCTACTTAGAGCATTGTACTCTTGTTCTCTCATTCCCCCTTCTCTTTCTCTTACACACACACACACATACACACACACACACAAGTCCTTTATAGTTCCAGAGCTAATTAATAGTAATTTTTCCATAATGCTGTTTTCACTGTTCATGCCTTCAATCTGCATTTGTAGAGCAAAACATTCATAACAGGATCTTTCAGATTTTTGAACCAATGGCTTTATTGTATACTGAAGTTCACATAAAGCAAACAAAATTAAGAACTTCCTGACATGTTTTTGTTTTGTTTGACTATGCTATAATTAAGTATCTCACAATGCTTCTAAATAAGAAGACACCATGAAAATTTAATGAAAAGTAAATTTGTAAATATTTTCTATATATGAATAGCACATAAAATGAATTATTTTTTGAAACATTTTTATCTTTCTCTTCATAGAACTATCATAGATAATTAATGCTCTTCTTACACATTATAATAATCATATAATAAAATCTATTAACTAAAGAAATGATTATGCTTAAAGTAGTACTAAATTAATATCTTTGATTCTTCCCTTGACAACTTCCATATGTAAGAAAATCAGTCAGTTTTTACTGCCGCATTTTTTTCTTATCCATTTCTTGCTTTGATTTCCTTTGCCATTCTGTCAGTGCAGGTCCTTTTCATCTTTCTTCTACCTTGATTCATTCTATTATTCAACACATATTCTGTCTCATTATCAGAGTCTCTATCAAGCAGAGCTTTGACCATTTCAGTTTGTTTTTAAAGTATTCTGAAACATAGCCTCAAATTACCTCTAGCAGATTCTTTCTTAATCATGGACCATCAACCCTAAAAATGTACATATACATACATGTGTAAAGAGTTGTACAATTTTATGGGATTGCTCAAACTTTTCTCCCTCAAGACTTGGAAGATACCTCATTGCACACCAATACTTAAACTCTTCTACACATACCTCAAATTCCAACCGTGATAGACCATAGGCAACTTGAGAATTAATGTTGTTTTATCCAAAGTACACATTCTTATACGTTCCAAAGTACTTCGCAAATGTATCAATCAAATAACTTGACCTCTGGAATGTTTTCCTTAAAGTCTTTTAGAGTATTTCCATTCCCTTTGGTACCCCTGTGACCTGTTACGCACATAATTTGGGACGCATTTATATGGAAGATATATGCCATTTTCAAGCTTCAAGCACTACTATTCCTATAATAATTTTCCTGGTGGGAAATAATTTTTATTAAAGAACTTGGACCAAGCTCACATTGATTAATACAGGCTTAATTCATACTTAAATTTCATGCCAGTTAACTCATGTCAACTCAAACAAATATCCTAAGTTGTCTTCTTTCTATTTTTCAGGTTTCTTGAGTACAGGGGATCAGGCTGCAAAAGGAAACTATGGACTTCTTGATCTCATACAGGCTTTAAGATGGACTAGTGAGAACATTGGATTCTTTGGTGGTGACCCCTTGAGAATCACTGTTTTTGGATCAGGCGCTGGGGGTTCATGTGTCAATCTGCTGACTTTATCCCATTATTCTGAAGGTAACCGTTGGAGCAATTCAACCAAAGGTATTATGCAGGTTGCAAATTTTGACAATTTTGGTGTCTGCATGCCACCACCATCAGTAGTATGTGATGCTTTGTATATATTTCTCTGTTCAAACTGTTAGGTTGAACTCAATGACTGTTCAAAACTGTTTCTTCAGCTTTTCTACGCATGTTTAAATTTTTGTCAGATTCTTTTCTTTGTCTCCTGTGGTGCTTGGTATGGGTGCCTTTTCAAGCACACTTTAGAGTAGCTAGCATTATGTTTATTTTTCTTCAAAGGGTGATTTTGGGGAAAATCAGGCAAAGGCATTCACAGTTATGTTCCCTCTGTTTATTCAGTAATCCAAATGAAAGTTTTTTAATGCAGGAATTATATGCAGTCTATTTTCAAGACAATAGACATGTTAAGCACTTTTTTTTAATATGAAACTAATGAAGAAGTCATAAGCTAGTGTGTCTGGAAACATAATTTCACTTGTTGTCTGAGAAGAGAATAGATATTTGACTATTTTGCATGCACGATCCAAAATTGTCAAAGCATTGAGGTCACTAGTAAAGCTTTGATTAAAAAGAAAAATACATTTGACTTTATGCTTTTTCTATTTTGAACTCAAGAAGTGGTTTTTTTTCTCCAAAGTTTGGAACAGCAGCATGAAGCACTGAGGCTGCTTAAATCCATGAAATGTTTTACTTGTGTCCATTTCCTGGCTTTGACATCCTTTTCCCAAAGTGCCTGTCCAGGGCTCATTGTGTCGTTTTACAGACTCCATTTTACCTTTTGTTTAATCACCATTCTAACTGCATTATTAATCTGAAATATCCACAGAAGTAAAGCTTTTTGAGAAAAGTTCACAAAGCAAATATTTTCTCTCCATTATTTATTATTTATATGCAATAGAGTAGAAGACCGAAAATATGCATCAACATAGGCCATATTTTATTTTCTACTGCTTAATTGTCATTTTATGTGTATATGAAAAACTAAAATACACACAGTCAAGTATAATTCATAAAGAATTTTAATTTGTAAGACAAAGTTTATGACATGAGCCACCAGACATAGTAGATTTTTTTTTAGTTATAAATGATACAGCAAGGTTGAATTCCAAAAGAACAGCCAATCACTAGATGAGTATATATATTTAGAGAATCATGCATTATCATGCACTTAATTTACTGACCTAGTTTATATAACATCTCATTTATATTAGTATGATTCTGATTTGAGTGAACATAATAATGAAGATAAGAATTTTCAATTATATAGGAATGTTGATCGAAATGAAATGGCTTATTTTGAAATAGCAAAGTTAGGTTTTCTAGTTGAATAGATTATTCTAGTCTTAGTACCACGTTAGTGTAAATATTTAGCTGAGTTGGCATTAGGTAACCTGCATAGAATTCTCAGTGTCATTTGACCAAAAATGGCCAATTTCAGTCAATATTAAATGAAACTTAGTTAAAGAGACAAATCGGATATCTCATTGACTTATTCATGAATTGACAGTGTGGTAAGCATAGCAAGTGGTTTTGCAATAATCGTCCATCATACTCTTCAAGGAAATGTGTCTGTACCTGACAAGAGACATGAACTTAGGTTTGACCTAGTCCTAAATCCTTCTCCAGAATGAGTTGCTTTATCTGACAAATAGGTGTGCAAATCTCTTGAAATCACCCAGCTAATTCTGCCTTCATTGTAGACATCAGCTTTAAAAACTATAAAAACTACAAAGGGCTACAGCAGTGCTCAAGTCTTCAGCCACCCTGAGTCATGCATACACTTAACCAGCACTCTCACTAATGGTTGTCCTAATACCATGTAACAGGCACATTTCCGGCAATATTTAACATAATGTGCATTTTCCTTTAAATCTTTTTTGGATATACTTCATGTCGTTGAATCCCAGAAACAGGAAACAGTATTATTAAAACCACCAGATTGATTATAGTTATAAAATTTTAATTAGTATAATATTTCTCTACTCAAATGTTGACAAATAGCCTATACATTTTTTAAATCCTCAGCATTTGTAGAATTTGCTTAGCATACTTTGCTCTATCAAATTAAAAATGTGTTTATAAAAAAAGTCAGAAAACCAAAAAAATTAAATTAGTGTTATTTGATTTTTGAGGACTTTTAAAATTATTTAAGAAACACATTTACAGACATTTTAAATGTTTATACATCTTTGGAGAAAAATCTGGGACTTTACTTCTAATTCAGACACTGCTTTAGCAACTTTGTGCAGAGTTCTTTTCTCACTAATACATATGAATATTTTAGCATGTTTTCAAATAACTGAACTAAAAAGCTGTATCTAGAAATTGGTAATAATGGTAAAATTTTAAAAGAAAATAGCTAAATTATTTTTAAAATGAGATTTTTATTAGAAAATACCTTAATGAGCAAAGTACATTTGTAAATTTGAATGACATACAGTTCTTATCAAACTGCATATGGAGCCATAATTTATAATTCCTAAATGCAATTAAGTAAAAAGCAGTGGACCATGTATGTTTCATAATTTTTGATAAAATACAGCAGTACAACATTCAACATGGAAAAGTTTAAATCATCCCCTACTAAATCCTCCTGCTGATGGTTGTTTTTAGCCTAGTGAAGACACTTCAAATATTTTTACCTTCCTCTGAAAGATGAATATTCAGCATATCATATCTGACATGAAGTTCAAGAAAGAGTATGTCTAAAGTGATACTCTGTTTTGTGTGACTTTAGGGCCATTCCCAGGGTATTAATAAATTGCCAGCTCCATTGTTGTGTGAGACCTCAACCATTCTTTTTCAAAAAAAATCTAGATCAAACAAATATACACAGTTATTTTGAAAGAAGACAGATTCAGTCAAAGAGAAGGCAATTTCAAATAGACAATACACAGAGTCTGACAGGTCAAAAAAGAAAGGATTGACCCCATCTAGTTGGTGGTGATAAGTATTTCACATGTTCATTAAAGAAAATATTTGAAGCTTTTACCCCTAGTACAAACACCTTCTCCTTTAGTCCTTATTGCCTCTTTGAGACTCTGTAGAATGTAGACCTCTTGATCCCTAAAGCAGGTGCCATTCAAAGTAGAAAACTTAGACTTAGGTCCACCTCTCTAATTCGTTATACCCTGGGAATGACCTTTTATTCTTTCTCTCAGGCAAAAATGTCTCTTTCTGTTTCTTGAGATGTACATGAGTTTTTATATACATGTTTAAAATACCGGTTATTATTGTGTTACCACAACATCTTTCAACAATCATCTGAAACTCTTTATTAATTTTTCCCATAGGACTTTTTCAACGAGCAATAGCTCAAAGTGGAACAGCTCTTTCCAGCTGGGCTGTTAGTTTCCAGCCTGCAAAGTATGCTAGAATGTTGGCCACCAAAGTTGGTTGCAATGTTTCAGATACAGTAGAGCTAGTGGAATGCCTCCAGAAGAAGCCTTACAAAGAACTTGTTGATCAAGATATTCAACCAGCCCGATACCACATAGCCTTTGGACCTGTGATTGATGGTGACGTAATACCAGATGACCCTCAGATACTGATGGAACAAGGAGAGTTTCTCAACTATGATATAATGTTAGGGGTTAACCAAGGGGAAGGATTAAAATTTGTTGAAAATATAGTAGATAGTGATGATGGTATATCAGCTAGTGATTTTGACTTTGCTGTTTCCAATTTTGTTGATAATTTATATGGATATCCTGAAGGCAAAGATGTTTTGAGAGAAACCATTAAATTCATGTACACTGACTGGGCTGACCGCCATAACCCCGAAACCAGAAGAAAGACATTATTGGCTTTGTTTACGGACCATCAGTGGGTGGCACCAGCTGTAGCCACTGCAGATCTTCATTCAAACTTTGGTTCACCTACATACTTCTATGCCTTTTACCATCATTGCCAAACAGATCAGGTTCCAGCTTGGGCTGATGCAGCCCATGGAGATGAGGTTCCCTATGTGTTGGGAATCCCCATGATTGGTCCTACAGAGTTATTTCCTTGCAATTTCTCCAAAAATGATGTGATGCTGAGTGCAGTTGTAATGACATATTGGACAAATTTTGCTAAAACTGGGTATGTACCTAGGGAAAGAGGTTGCTATCATTCTTTTTAAAAAATATTGTTTAAAGTATTTTAAAATAATATATATGTATACCCAAATAAGTTAGTAGATTGATACCAGTGATATGCTAATTTGCTTTACTGAATACTTAATTCTATATCGTAGTGTTTCAAACAGCAATTGCTTTATTATTCTTCCTTGGTAAAAGTTTATTAAGAAAAGCTTCAGGGTGGGGGTGAAGCTAAAGTGATAGATAGAGTGCTGAATTCAAACCCAAATACCACAAGATACAAAGCTAAACAAAGAATGGCTTTTATCTATGTTGTGTTAGTCAATAATTACATAATATTTTGGTTTTTGAATTGCACAGGACTTGCTATTACTGATTTTCAGTAGTAACAAATATTGTTTCATAGTGTTTTCCACTTCATTATACTGAATGCTCTTTGATCCTTCTAACTACCCTTATAATGTAGACAAGTTGGATACTATTAATCCCATGTTACCTAGAAGAGATCTGAGGCTCTAAGACCTACATATGTTTGGTATGTAGTAGCACCAGGACTTAAATCTTCATCTGCCGGTTCCAAATCCTGAGTCCTTCCACATTTCTATTCTATCTCTTTTGTCTATGAGACAAACCATACCTGTATGACTATTGAAACAATTTTTTTAAAGTCTTTGAGTTGATAGTAGCCCATCTCTGAGAAAATTAAACCAAAATGTAATTTGCTTTAAGTTGTCAACCATCTACCAATCTGCCTGTGATGAGATTTAAATTTGTAAATTGTTCCAAGTTAATGCTAAGACACCATCTAAAGCCTTGCTGAGTTACTGCTTCAATTAGACATTAAACTGGTAGTGTTTTGACTGAGAAAAAGTGTAAAAACCATTGTGTTCTCATAATTTCATTTTTCTTTCCTAGTGACCCAAATCAACCAGTCCCTCAAGACACGAAGTTCATCCACACCAAACCCAACCGCTTTGAAGAAGTAGCGTGGACCAGATACTCTCAGAAAGACCAACTTTATCTCCATATTGGATTAAAACCAAGAGTTAAAGAGCATTACAGAGCCAATAAGGTGAATCTCTGGTTGGAGCTGGTGCCTCATCTGCATAATCTCAATGACATTTCTCAGTATACCTCGACAACAACTAAAGTGCCATCAACTGACATCACTCTCAGACCTACGAGGAAAAATTCCATACCTGTCACATCAGCCTTTCCCACTGCCAAGCAAGATGACCCCAAACAACAACCAAGTCCATTTTCAGTGGATCAGAGGGACTATTCAACAGAGCTAAGTGTCACTATTGCAGTTGGAGCATCCTTGCTGTTTCTGAATATCTTGGCCTTTGCAGCGTTGTACTACAAAAAGGATAAGCGGAGACATGATGTTCACAGGAGATGCAGCCCACAGCGCACCACCACCAATGATCTGACCCATGCACAAGAAGAAGAAATCATGTCCCTCCAAATGAAGCACACTGATTTGGATCATGAATGTGAGTCCATCCATCCACATGAGGTGGTTCTTCGGACCGCCTGTCCCCCAGATTACACACTAGCTATGAGGAGGTCACCTGATGATGTTCCCTTAATGACACCAAACACCATTACAATGATTCCCAACACTATACCAGGGATTCAGCCCTTACACACATTCAATACATTTACTGGAGGACAGAACAATACACTGCCCCATCCCCATCCCCACCCCCATTCACATTCAACAACCAGGGTATAGCCAGATCAGAGAAACAAACTATTTTTTTGATGGATTGCAGTAAAAGATTACTGAAGATTCCTTGGCTTTCAACCTACAAGACTCTCACTATTTAAATAAAGAGGGATATTATGTGAATATACATATCAAGAACTTTGGGGGTTTTGAAAAAAATGAATTGTATATATATATGTATATATATATATATACATACATACACACAAATCAACTTTAAAAACAAATTTCAATTGCTTGAAGCAATTGTTCTGAATGATACTTTTTCATTCACATTCAAGAGCTAATTTTTTTGAAGATTTCAGTTACATAATGGAATTAGGCATGTGGAACACCAAAAAGGAAAGAACTATGTCTGAAATATAAAACACAAAAATACAAAACAACTATGAATATGCACAAGGGACACACCAATGGAATGTCAGATAATTTCCATCAGTTTTATTTGGAGCTGTTTTATTGTGTAAACCATATTTACATATTTGGATAAGTACACAAAGCACCAGTGCTGTTAGCGGCCTTAGCAGAGGCTCATGCTGAAATTTGCCAATAAAACAAAGAAGTTTAAAGACTGGCAGGTACAACATTGTCACATAAGTGCTGTCAGCATAAAGTTGTGGGGATAAAGGAAACTGGATATTTTTAGCACGATGTGCATGATAATTTATATGCTTGGTGGCTGTGCTGCTGATTAAGCCGTAATTAAAATTCTTCTCATCCCATTGGAGTTTTAAATAGAAGCTTCCTCCATCAATTGGCAGAACCTAAAGAAGATTTTAAGGGGCAAAAGTAATTACAATAAAATAATTCACAGTAGTCTCAATAATAGAAGGAATTAGTTATTAAAGGTATTTGAAGAAACTATAGGTATAGTGGTGAATACTTGCTGATATGAATCCCAGAAAAAAATTCCTATGTTTTTAATGTTCTTTTCATTCCCATTTAAATAATTTATAGAAATACAACGCTAATTGGACATGTGTTACAGGATCTATAATTTGCTGTGGTTTTTGTTACTCTGTATTATGTTCTTTTTGGTAAGGTGAAGTGTGTCTAAAGTTACTTGCGACAGTCTCTTATGATATGAGGATGCCCCAATATTATCACTCTGATTACAGTTTTCAGTTATTGATTTACTCATGTTGCATGATAAAATGTTTACTACTAATAATTCAATATAAAGTTATGTCCCTCTTCACATCACTTACCTTTCTCACTGAAGTTGATTCACTGGAATTTACTCATGCAATCTCAGTAGACTACAACATAGATACAGACCTAGGAAGTCTACACCTGGAGGATTTTAGTCTTACACATATGTGTGATTTCAAATGAATATTCTAAGATCACAGGAAATTCTTCATCCCCTGTTGTTTACCAGTAATATCAGTATATCACAGACCTTTCCAAATGTTTGTATATGTAATCAGATGTACATTTATATTAAAAATGAGATGGACTTAAAGAGCACATCCTGATAAATACTTTCTCTCTTACCTGTACTATATTTCTATTAGACTAAAGTTATGTGATTTTTTTTTACATTTTTTCAGATGACTAGCAATTTTGATAGTTTGTAAGATAATGCAAAGAACTTTCTCTGACAAACTAACTGCAGTAACAGAAACCTTTCTTTTCAGTTACTCTTTTTTCAAGAATGAAAGCTTATTATACAAAAGAAAACAATTGTATACTACTTGATGGAAACAACTTTGTACATCTTGGCCATGTCACTGGTCATTGCGTGAAATAAAGATTATCTGGATAATGACTATCAGTCAAATGCTAAGAGACATGATCTTTGCTCATTAAAGAGCTAAAATGTTATTGCTGTTTTGTCTTTTCTTTAAAAAAAAAAAGTAAAAACAAAAACAAGTCTCAAAGAGTCATTTTTCTAGACCAGTCGGGTTTTTGAAGACATATAGGCAACTTCTATGGAAAACACAGCTGTGTACTTAACAGCAAGTCTCATCTAAGATGAAACCGTAGAAACACCATGAATTTATAAGCTCCAGGAACCCATGAAAAATATTAGCTTTGTATTTTTAAGTACCCCTTATGTGAAGGTGTTATAGAAATAAGGTACCATTTGTTTTCACTTAGAAACACAGGTTCTAATTCTGATCATCAGGGAAAAAGTCTATTCGGAAATAAATGTACAATATTTCATGAAATAAAAATATCTAGATTTATACTATAAGGGTGATTAAACTATCACAAAACATAGATTAAAAAGTTATCCTCAGAGAAATTTAAAAGTGCTGAGCAAGATATTAAGCCAACACTAAAAGATAAAATTCTATTGTAAGGAATTATTTTGATTATAATTTCTCCTTCCAATTATTAAATATTAGTAAGATGTAGATATTGCTCCATAATCTCAAATAAAAATCTCTGCTAGAAGCAGTATTCAAAATCCAGAGCTGTCGACATGCAGTTTTTCCCTGATGTGGTTATGCTTTTAGACTGTGAACTGCTAATGTAAGCCAACAAAAAGAATTGTGTAGCATCTGAAATACTGCTTAATCAGAAAACTGACTTTTGCTACATTGATTAAACAGAAGATAAAATCAGAAGTTGAAGTGACAACAAAATTAGATAAGGTGAATACTTTTATATGCATTAATTTGCTTGGCAAAATCATTCTGTTTTACTGATGGCTGTTTTTCTATCTGCCTATTTCTCTACATTTATCTATCTATCAGTATACCTATCTATAAAATAACTGACATCTGCATTATATTAATTTAGGGAAATAATTTAAGGAAACAAAGCATAGCCCTATTCTTTTCTATAATTTAATATCAACTTTGTGGAAGATAAAGCAGCCAGGTTTTATTGTTCTCAGTCATGTGGTGAAGTCATTGTGAAGAATAAATTTCTAGTTTTATAATCACAGTTTCCAGTTTTCTCAGTGTAAAATGATGTCATCAAGCAGAATATTAAGAATTGTTTTTAAAGCTGAAACAATTTTTAAATGCAAGAAAAACTTTGAATATTGTTATTCAGTTTTAACCAATGTGTTTATTTAGTTGATAAAAATATGAGATAAAAAGTAAGTACTAAAATTAAAAGAATATTTTGGAGTTATTTATTTATTCAGACTTTCTTGACTCAGATTGAATTGAAACCAAGCAAGACTGCTTAGGATGTATACAAACCTTAAGCCAAAATGAAGTTATTTAATTATTTTGCTTTTATATAAATTTTTTTCAAATATTTATCAAAAGATTGTTGCTTTAGAATATGAGATTAGAAATATTAAAGTGACAGATTTAATGATTTTAAATTTATATTGAACATGTGAACTGTGAATAGAATCTAGTTGACAACAGATATTTAACAAATTTTATCATTAAGTTTTATGCAAGTTGGAATATGATTTGTTAAATCATCACAAATATCCAAACAGAAAACATCTTTTCAGCTCAAAGCCGAAAATATGAGTGTAGGTTACTGCATTCCTCATTTCAAATTGGAAAGCTAACCAAAGATACTTTCATAAAGACTTCTTTCATCTGAACAACCTGAAAATAACAAAAATTCTTTTCAAACTTGTCAACTGTATGTAATCTTAAGAAGGAAAACAGGATGACACTAATTTTGCTACAGAAATGAAAAACCCAAATTCAATTGTTATAGCTATAATAAACTGCATAGTAGCCATTAGTTCATCTGTTGTCATACTCACACACACATGTTAATATTAAGAAATGATACCATGTGGTAATGTATTCCAGTTTCAAAGACAACACTACATAGAAATTACTGGGATTCTTTTCTTTAGCGAGTTTCACTGAAATATTTCATAGTACAAAATGATAAATGAAATTCTTAAGAAGCTGCCACACATCATGGCAGTCCCTTGATGTTAGTAATTTTTTTTTCTGTGTTTTTGGTTCAAAGTACTGGCCTTTTCCAGTAATTAGTTGTTATAGATTATCACTTTTTTAATGTGAGTGAAAATTAGATAATTTGGTTATACTTGTGAAAACATGTCCCAAATAAATTCAATTAATGGGCACTTCCCTGCTGAGATTTTGTTATCATTCATTTAATTATCTTGCCAAGTTTACTGTTACAGCAATTGTTTTAGCTTTTTAGTCAATAAACTAAGGGAATGTCTCCAATATCCTTATACCGCACCTGCACTTGATACATTGGCAAAACCTGCTTCAGATTCCCATCAGAACGCTTTTAAGAAATTTCCATTTAGCAGCCAACTGATTCCAATTTTATAAGCATTGTGATTTGGTTTTAATCTGGCACATTATCATATTTGTCTGCAAGGCAGAAATCAATTTCATTTGTTTAGGGTTGTAGAGAATACAGACAAGAATAACCATGTGCAGGGATTAAGTGCCTTTCTCCCCTGGGATTTAATTTATACAACTTACCGTATTTTTTTAATTTGCAGATTAAAATAATTTGATTTGAAAGGTAAAATAGAATGACTATGCTGTCAATTGAAAATAAGAAAATTCTATTTGAAAGTTTCTGTAGTTACTTTCATTTTGATATGATATTGAATGGGTCCAAATGAGTCTTTGGAAAGAATGAGGTGAATTTTTGGAAAATGATAAATGTTAGGCATCTGAATTTATAGTACTTAAGAATGAAAATGTAAAACTCTAACAAACTTTACAATTTTTCTAAATAAGTAAATTTAATTTAGAAATCTACAATTATTAGGAACAAGTATAAGTTAGATGTAAATGTAATTTTCTCTGGTAATCTGTTTTTATACTATATGGTATGTATGCCCCACATACCATATGGTGTGTAAAAATTTATGATAGCCCTTTTAGATCATATATGTACAAATGACATTGTATATTATCCTAAATATGTAGCAATGTGACAAAATTTAGTCCTCCAAAAAGTCAAGCCAAATTAGTAGTTATTTTATGTCAAAGTAAATTGTAACAATTAAGCTTTAAAGAAACTTATAAATGTCCAGTAACAAAAACTCAGCAGCTGAAGTTAAAATAAAAGTACCATTTCTG